TGGGAGTCAATCTCACCTCAGGGATAAAATGTTCCAAGAGCAGGAGTGACACAGAAAGGGTCTTCTTCTGGACTTCACTATCTGGAATTCCTTGACTGATGGGGTCTGCAGCATGCCTCCTCTGGGGCAGGCCAGTCCCATTAGAGTGATATGGTTCCTCAGGTAACTGGACCCATGCCATGCAGGGCTTTAAAAATAATAACTAGTAACTTGAATTGCACCTGGAAGCAAACCAACAACCAGTACAGCTCATGGGTCACCCTAGTACCCAAGAACTGCCCACACCTCTGCACTTTGTGCCAGCTGAGGTTTCTGAATATTCTTCAAGGATAGCCCCATGTAGAGCACATTGTAGTAGTCCAGATGTGAGATGACCAAAATCTGAATGACTGATCTCAGATGCCAAGAAAAACAGTTAGTGTTTTCCTTTTCACCTCCCCCATTTGTCCCCCTTTCCAATTATCCATGTCCTCTTTTTGCCTGCTCATATATCTGATAGCCTTACATATCAATGAAATATCATTTACCCTTCTTAACTAAGTTGGACTAAGTTGAAAGAAGCATCACCTGCTGGGTAAAGAATATACATGTGCATACATTCACACAGACATCATACAGACTATCTATCATAGATCTCCATATATGCACAGATTCTTTCTTCTATCCATCCCTCCTCCAGTAATCTTAAATATAGTAGGCACATTCATTGATACACATAATGCACACACATAGCGTACACATTGAGTGTTTACATCCTAAATCTTCCTCCTACCTTAGGAAGAAAATAAACTCTCGAGCCGCTTCCTGTCTCTGCAGCATTGAGTCTTGAATCTAGGGAAATCAGCCCCTTTTCTCTTTGGCAGAAAGAAAAGGGGGGAAATAGGAAATAGGAAAAGGAATTGTAGAAGTTCCTTTTTAATTTTAATTACTCATATGATTCTTTATTAACAAAGGAAATACAATTATAGAGGTATTCAAAATCAGACAGCATCTGAAAATGTCTAATAGAGAAATATATAGGACAGTGACAAGCTCTGACAAGATTCCAAAGTGATCCATTCCAATAATGGAGAAGCAGCTGAAATATAAAGATATGCCAGTCTGCATAAAACATACAAGGACTGGGCTTGTGTAAAGATAATAAGTTCCAGATGCAATAAAGTGATCATAAAAATCGAGAAAAAGAAATTAAACAGAGCACTGTGTTAACTAACATTTTCCTTTCCTTTTTAGTCAATGACCCCTGGAACAGTTGTTACCTCTATGACAATTTGTTATCTAGAAAACCCTCCTTCCTTGAAATGCCAACTATAATCAAGAGACTTTTAACTTTCTTTCCTTACACTATCTGGTCATAAAACGTCTGGCTTTTTTTGTGCTGGACTTCTGCTTTTTTTTTTTTTTTCCAAAAGGACCCAGATTTTCTGTCTCTGACACAGAAGGAGGCATTGGGAGACACTCTCTCTCTCTCTCTCTCTCTCTCTCTCTCTCTCTCTCTCTCTCTCTCTCTCTCTCTCTCTCTCTCTCTCTCTCTCTCTCTCTCTTTTTTTTTTTTTTTTTTTGCCTGCATGGTGAAGATCATGCCCAAGATAAGATCTTATTTTGAATGGCTAAGCTGTCCTGAATATCAGTAATTTACACTAAAGAGAACATTGTATGGGACATTATTCACTAGCAGATAGAAAAACTAAAATTAAACAGTGCTAGGATACAAACTATCTTGAATATCACTGTTTTAAGACTGAATGAAGTGGGAGAAAGTAGATATCTTATTTTTGTATCCTGTGATTAATTCAGTTCTGTTCAGTCGTTATGCAAATTACAGGTTTGTTGTGTTTCATAATTCTTTATGGAAAAATTCTTTCCATAATCAAAGTGCTCTGAAAAGAGTAGATGTATCCCAAATAGTTGCATATTGAACAACTATTTTTCTTTCCTATACCCTTGACATTTACAGGTTTCCTATTACCTGCTAAATGCTTAATATAAAATTAAAAAACCATTATTTGCAGCAAGTTTTTTATTAAACAGTAACAGATCAAGATCATGTTTAATTAAAATTAACTTGCTTACCAAAGCCAAATGTACTAATGATTCACAATGACCTTTTATTACCTGCAGTCCCTTGTTTTGGATGGATGATTGACAGCTTGCTGTTTGGCTCCGTGTTGTATTTCAGCTGACAAGACTTTTCATTTTAACTCAATTTGCCTGCCTATCACAAGCTGGTGGCGGGCCAGGCGCAAGTCGCCCAGCTTTGCCTCAGCAGCTTGTTCCATTTCTCATTAGTACGCATTTATTCAGTGGAAATTGGAAGACAAATGCTTGAAGGCATGTGAACTAAGTATAGCAAATTAGGTTTAAAAACTGAATATTTATAAGTATATTGAAATGGCTTCGACTTTTAAAAAAAGATTGTGGATGAATTGGAAGCAGAGAATATAAGAGAAAAGGAGAGTGGGAAGACTCTAAAAATAATACTCTGGGAAGTCTGAAGGCCCCCTCTTCCTCCCACCCTTTCTCTCCTTCCCTCCTTAGAAAATATGTCAACTTTTCTGACAATCTCTCTTCATGTGTTGAAGTTTCTGCATCTCATGTGTGTAGGAAGTGGGAAAACATGAGGGTCATGTTCATTTGCTGCTTGGTTATCTCTTGCTTTGCTTTAAATTGCCTTGTTTGTTCAGCACTAGCACAGAAACAGATGTTGTTCTCCAGAGCTGGATCATTTACGGTACCTCATGGTGCAAAATGGGAGGCCTCCCAGGCTATCCAGCTGGTCTTACAGGAGTGCTGGCTTATGCCTACTGAAGTATGACAACCACAAGTACTGTACAGGCTGCTGTTTTATCATCTAGTTGTCATTCAGTGTCTAAATCCAGCATATAAGAATTGTTGGGGAGTGGGGAGGGGAGGAGGACTGGGAAAGAGTGTCATTTTTTGTTTGTTTATTTTCATGGTCGGCTGCCACAACCCACACAAGCTTCCCTCCTCCTTTGCTGATCATAATGTGACTCATTACCTTTGTCATCTAAGGATTATCAGCAAAATCGCTCCGAGCGAGAGCCACAGCTCCTTTTCCCCCACGTAGCTGGTACTAGAAGGTAAAATAGATTTGTCATTTATGAGCTGACCACTAAGCCATGTTCTGAGCTCCATTACTGTGATTAACTTATCTATAGGAGAAGTTTGCCCGATTGTCATTTGGGATACCACATTGGTCAACAGACTGCCATGCTTCCTTTCAAAATGTCAACCAATCTGATATGACTGTGTGGCTTGTGCTACTCAAGTGGAAACCTGCTATTTCAGCAGCAGCAACACTTGCTGATGATTTCGCTTATCATTGTTGTGTGTTCTGTGCTTTACTCTCTTCCCCTCACTGGCCCCCAACAGGATTTGGTTGCTTTGGTGCACAGTGGCCCTACATATGTCAGTTACCATTTCCATTCTGCAGCCTACTGCAGTCTAATTAGCTTCATTATTCCTAGGCTGCATAAAGCCAAGAAATGGAGCCTGGATCTTTCTTTTGCATTGGGGGAAGTTTTCTCTTGCCAGAATGCAGTCATTTGACATCTATTGTGCCTTGTGGCTATCCACAATAGAGGCCATATTCTGGAATCAGAGGTTTTTTTTCGGCTTCGTCATCAACAAGCCGACTTGATTCTCCCTGATTATAGTAACGAAGGCAGTCCCAAAAAAATATGCACAGCCTCACTGTACGTCACATTGAATCACGGTGTTGGCCACACAGAACTGACCGCAGCCTCATTTCTTTAGACAAATACATGCTTAAGGAAAAAAAAAAACTCTTGCAGAAAAGCATCCAAATCAGCTTTATTTGCCATGCATTGTTTTTAATTTTTGTAAAAAAAATTGTTACTGTCTTTTGCTTCTGTGCTTCTATGCTAAGGTTGCTACACTTCCTTGTAAATTAACCTTTAGGTTCTAGAGAATCACCAAAGCAGATCTGGCAAAAGAGAGGATTTAAATGTGGATATTCCAAAATGCATTTAAGCAACCATCTATGCTTGATCTTATATTCTATGGGTGGCTCTGGTTTTGCATTGCTAAGGCTTGTTTTCACACTGATAGCTTAAAGGAGTCATACTGTCTCCTACAGGACCCAGCCATGGTGGTGGAGAAATAGTCAGTTTTGATTACTAAGTGAGAGATGCAGCCCCAGACAGGAGGTACATGCTGGTATGCATGCTATCAGAATGATTTATGCAAATTATGCATATTATTCCCAAAGGAATTTCTCCTCAAACTGCCAGGATAAATTGCCGGAAATTAGCCATAAAATCTGTCATGCTAGGAGCAAAAGGTGAAGGCTACTGGGATGGCAAGGACATTTGCCTTTCCAAGCTTTCCAAGTTATGGTGGGCGTCTGGAAAAGGTTTGGGATTTGTGTCAAAGCATTATACGGGATATGGGTTTTCCCCCCATTAACTTGTCAAAGTGCCACACATAATTTGAATTTGCTCAGCCAACAGTAGAAATTATGATGTGATGATGATATTGCTAAAGGTTCCTTAATTCCCAGCATCCTAACTTCACAGTTCACTGTATAGTTATTTGGAGGACAGCTCTGAATGTTGAAATTGGTATTGCAACCCTTGCAGTGTATATAAATGCATAAAAATATTCCTCTCTTTGGTGGTGGGATTTCAGTGAGATGTACAAATAATGGTTTTCTACCCAAAATACACTACATTGTTTTGAGCTTAACTAAATATATCAAATACTATCAGTTAATAATTATAGTTAAACATTCCAAACAGCAAATACTCCATTAGCCCTATAGGAATGTATTAGTATCCCATTTTTAGGTCTCTCTTCCCACTTCACTGCCTATTTTTCCTCACCACCTTTTTTTTCTAGTTACATCTAATAAACTAATTCAGTGGCTGTTATAGGAATTCGTAAGTTCCAGTCATCTTCAGTATTTATAATGGTTTGAAATGTTGTTTTGTTCTGTTTTTCTCTTCATTTAAACACAGAAAGTGCTATAAATGAGAGTTTGCGAATGTGTTCCTCGTCAATGAATATCCGTAAAGTCAAAGAAAATTTTATTCTCAAGCTTGAAGAGAATCATGAAGTCTGCTTGAGAAAAGGAGATTTGATGGCAATTTTTCCTCCAGTTCTGCACATGGACCCTGAAATCTATGAAGATCCTCAGGTAACAATTGACTGCTATTACACATATGATCCCAGGGATATTTCTGTTACCAAGTTCTTTATAATACAGATCATTTTTTTAAGAGAATAGGGGAAAAAACTGTGGCACAAATCTTCCTACTTTCAGTTCTTTTCAAGGTGCCTGCTGCAGGTCAAAAGATTCAAGGCCTAAAGGGAAAAATAATGGCAATGAGACTGACCTCTTTGAGAAGAACTGACAATTGTTCACTGACTACCATAAACTTGAGGCTAAATGTGGGCTTTGTTTGGAAGTGGATCATTGGAAGCCCAAAGAAGGCAGGATAATGGAAGCTGGCTTAAAGAGCAAATAATGTGGGCTATTTAGTTAAGTGGCCCCAAAGCATCATTGATTCTCTAAAGCCCCTATAATAGCAATGTCTTCTTAAGACGTATGGTTTTTCACCTCTCTTTATCGGGATTGGTCTTTTCGTGGTCAATTAGTATGGCGTTGTGAACTCAGGATTGTAAAGCTGTTGCTCTGCAGTGAAGCTTTGAGGGTAATTGCGTCATTTCCATGTATTTTCCCTTTTCTGAGGCTAAAGTTAATGAATATCAAAGATTGCAAATTAATCCTGTCTAGTTCAGCTTAATGCAGCTCCAGAAGTTCATCACCTGAATGCAAATTGGAGGGCTGTTCCCTCAGTTTTTACTGAGATATTTTGCGGCTGGCTTGGGGATGCTAAAGAGACAGAAATGCAAGTCACAAGGCTTTACAAAAATTCTACTTTTTACTGAATTCCAAGGAGTCCACAGATAGCATGATATGTTGAAGTCATGGTTTATAGACCATATAAGCCTCTCTAACAAAGTGATTCTGAGAAATATTCAACTCCCCAAATCCATAATTTGGGTTAAAATAAATCTCAATGGTTAAAATTAAAGGTATGTAATATAATATTGTATTGTATTATTTAATATAATTATAATATAATATAATATAATATGATATAATATAATATAATATAATTTGTTTTATTATATATTATAAAACAACCATATACGGTAGGGATCCACCATTCCAAAAACAATTAAAAATGATTACTCATCAGAGGAACAACCATAGTTGCTTTACCCCCCAAAGCTTGGTGAAAGAGAATCTTCCCAGATTTTATGAAGGCTAGGAGGGAAGAGCTATCTGAACATGCAGGAGGGGAGGTTTCCACTGATGGGAGCATCTTTTAAGAATGGGTCATTAAGTATATTTTCACTTGAACAGAGGAAAAGTCTTAAGAAATGTCCAAATTACCTTGTTCTTCCCAAATCACCAGCACTACCCTGACTGAGGTGACATAAGGGTGGTTTCACTGGCTGACAATAAGCTTCTGACATTTTTCAAGATATGGTCCTTGATATTTATGAGCTTAATTATTTTGGAATTAGGTTATTTGAAGAAGCACCTGCTTCCATCTAGTCCTATCAGAACTTTACATTCTGGTCAGGATGCCTTGCTGACCATGATATTAATAGATAGATAGATAGATAGATAGATAGATAGATAGATAGATAGATAGATAGATAGATAGATAGATAGATAGATAGATAGATAGATAGATAGATATTGAAATTACATTATATTGAATGTATAATGCCTACATAATGAATACACACACACACACATAATATGCATTATACATTGAATATAATGCAATTTCAATATATATCTATATCTCCCTATATATGAATGTGACAATTGATGAAAATTACTACCTTTTTCATTCTGCCAGCAGAAAAGTTATGCTGAATCAAAAATCACTTTCAGATAGGACAGACATTTCCAGCCAAAAATGGCTCATTCTGGAGTCAGTCCATTGTAAGAGAAAAATCATTGAGAAAATGATGCTAAAAATAAAATATGCTGTTTTCTATTCTTAGTATAAAACATTTCTATATTTACAGGTATTTATAGAGTTGACATTTTCCATCAGTAAAAGTATCTATAATGCTAAAACCATTAAGCATACTGTACATAAACATGCATGAATCAGATTAAAAATTATTAGAATAGATTATGCTTTAAAAATCAGAATGTTTAAAAGTTAAACCACATGTTCTAGAACAGTGGTGGCGAACCTATGGCATGCATGCCAGAGGCGGCACTCAGAGCCCTCTCTGTGGGCACGTGTGCCATTGCCCTTCCCCCACCTCCCCCTGTGGCCTCCACCTTACCAGCAGCCCCCTAGAGGAGAGTCACCCCCGAGCGCGGCCCACACGGAATAGCGTAGCCAAGAACGGCAGCCAGGCAGCGGGGACAGGACTCCACTCTCATGCCCTGTCGTGCACAGTTGATTCTGCAGGGCACAGGCAGAGGGCATGGCTGCCATGGCGCTGCTGGGCCGCCTGAGCGATCTGTGGCAGGCTGTGGAGGCGGTGGGTGGCCTTGCAGGCAGGCTGGGTAGGGGGCAGGGAGAAGGATGGGGCAGGATGGGGGTGAAGTGAAGGCAGAGTGGGCAGGGTGGGGGCGGGGCCTGTTTTTGGGCACTCGATCTCTAAAAGGTTCGCCATCACTGTTCTAGAATTACCTAGGCCTCTGCAATCTATGGCTTTAGCTCCTAGAATCCTTTAAAAATTACTACCAATTTTTATTTTAAATATTAAGTACATGGAGTGTACAGTAATTGCATCCATTTCATTAATTTAATGTACTTTGAATATAACATTATGTGAAATAAATTTAGCTTTTTTGATCTGGCTATTTTTGATGTAAGGTTTTCTGCTTGCTACTTAACCATGGTCAAAATACAAGATGGCTGGGTGATTTTGGCCCAGTCACTCTCTATTAGCCTAACTCGCCGCATCAGATTTTTGTAGAAAATAGCAGCAGGAAAGAGTATTATTAGGTATGTTCACCACCTTGAGTTATTTATAAAAACAGTAAAGGTAGGATTTTTTTAAAAAAAATATAAATAGATAAATTAATAAGATGGCAAATTGGCCCAGGTCAAAACAGTTTATCCAGTGTAGGATTCCAGTAGTACTACTTTGCAAACTGTGGTATTCTCTTTAGGATTTTAGATATTTGCTTGTAATTGTATTGTTTGTTGGGCAGAAAGCATGTAAATGTTCATGTGATTCAACTCTCTGTGACTTGTATACTCTTACTTGTACCAAATGGTCTTACTCACTATATCTGTTCTTAGCTTTAATGTGTGCACGGGGGTGGGGTGGGAGTAAAATTTATAAGCTTTATAGCCCACATTTCAATTATGAATTTCTCAAGGCAACTTATAAGAGTCAACAAATGTAGCAACAGTTATTAAAGTAACAACATAAAATCAAGATCTGATAAAAATATAGCTAAAAATATTAAAAGTGTCTTTAATACCATTGAAACAGGTGAGAATATGGCTTATATCTAGTACTTTAAAGTCAAGTTAGCAAGTTGGATAGGTCTAAATAGAGACCTATTTATCTAAATAGAGACCTATTTATCTAAATAGAGACCTATTTATCTAAATATCACAATTTGAGTAGAAGACCTGTTCAGTCATCTGCCTAACCTTAGAAGACTGATGTACTAAAAGAAAGAATTCAAAAGATAAACTCGGTTAACAGGATATCTATATCTGAGACCGAGTGATGGGTAGGTGTTACTACCTCACCTGGATGTAACTTTCAATAGAAGGCAAAATTTATTAAATACGTGGGATATATCATTGTAACAACTTCAATTACAAGCTAAGTTATTTTGGCCCCTTCAATATTTGGTGTGCAGCCAAGTTCAAAAGTTGAATTTAGCTTTTATAACTTGTAGTCTTATCCATACTTTGTAAGCACCTGCTCAAATATCAAAGAATCCAGTGTGACTTGGAACAATCCAATTCATGTAACAAAACCAATTCCTCATAAGGACAACAAAGAAGGTGAAAAATACAATGGAACATACAAAATCTATTTGAAAAAACAAAAGATTTTGAGCTGGTATCATGTAATACCATAATTGGTGTCAGTCTGTTTCTGCAGACTGGGAAATTTCATAGTTGCAATGGAACAGTGAAGGAATTACTTGCTGTAGACACAAAAGTGTATCTCAATTCTTTAAAGAGGAGACACCACTATTGCTCCAGGTAGTAGTAAGATGTTTAAAGTAAAAACTTAAACAACCATTAATAAAATATTGAAAGTTAAGATCAACAAAATAAAATTAATCATGTGGTCCTCAACTACATAATATTTCCTCCCTTACTTAATTACTTACAACTACTGTATATTGCGCCTTTTATACTGAACACCCACTGTAAAAGCAGCCTTGATTCTTTCTGAAAAAATGGGGAAGGGGCCACCTTTGCTATTCCAAAGCCAAGTCCTGTGTTCCTCCCCACAAGGAGTCCTGTGATTTCTTGGGGGGAGGGACTCCTGGCCATCTGGATCACATGTCTGAAGGTAATGAGGACCTGAATCCTAAAAAGCTTTAGGACCTATTACAATGATAAAAGCTGAATTTAATAACTCTTGAATTTAGATGAGCAGCGAGTACAAACCTTTCAGAAACATCAATACTACAGTTTTCACTGGCTGTGCAGAATGTAGTCCTGGTTTCCTAACTTATGTTTTTTATCATTTTCAAGGGCAGCCCCAGCTCAGCAATGTCAGCAGTTCCACTTAACGTAGACATGAATGTTTACTAAGCAAGGAATTGCTTCCAATTAGTGTTGGGGGGAAAAATGATAGTACCTGTTTCTGACAATTTGAGATAGAAAACCTACAAAAACTACAGTGGAAAGAAAGCCTGATTCAGGCTTCACATAGTCTAAAACAAATCTCCCCAATTGCCTCCTCCTTCAGCCCACGAAAAGATGAAAGCCAAATTCTTGGCTCTCTTATTTGCATAACATGGCTTCCTGGCTGAATCACAGTTGAATCTGCTAGTGAACAGAATTTAAAAGATGGGCTTTCACTAGGGATGAGGTGAGAGTGCACATAAGTGTGTATGAAGGACCATCTGTAAGTTGTGCTTTAATGCATTCACTCTGAAGTCCCTAGTCTGTATTCTTTAATGATTTCCTGGTTGCAACATACTTTAAACAGATGGGCCCTTTATCAATTACTAAAACTATAAACAAGGACAGTGTGCCCTTCTAGTTTTGATTCCAATCATCCCAGATTTTCTGTATGAACATATTGCAAGGTTGCCTCAGTAGTGCATGTTAATGCATTTAGACTTGCCTTCACAATTTAAAAGGCTTTCCAGCAAGGAATTTCTGGTTCTGGAATAATTCTTAATAATTTAAGGAATTATTGTTGTGGTTTGTAGTAGTAGTAGTTAGCATGATTCTCATTGTTATCATTTCTACAGAGCATATTTTGGCTTGTCATGTTTCTTTTGCTTTTGCACATTCTCCCCAAAATACCAAGGTCATGTCATGAGCAGTACCTTCAGCATGGCCTGGCTTCTGTGGGTTATATCAAATTTAACAAGCAGGGAATTGAAACTGAAACTAGGAAATGGAGCAGAGGAAAATGATAAGGTGCTTAAGAAATATATTGCTCAGATTTAGAAAAAGAGAGGTGGTGTACAATCCTGAATAAGGACAACAAAAGTGTAGAAAAGAAGTCATACTAACCTGAGGGAAGTGAGTAATTTTACCTCCCCTTATTTTAGTTAGTAGGACCAAATGCCAAACCCAAAATACATAGTGCTTCTTTTATTATGTTTCTTGTATTTTGTCTTAATATATAATATTCATGCTTGTGTGTCATCACCTGCATAATATGTACATATGGAATTCAAAATCAGTAAGCAGATGAATAGTCATTCAATTTGTTTTAAATAAAACCCAAAAGGAAAGTGTAAAGCATAGGAAATCTGTTCGTAAAATAAGTTTCAGAGCTGTAGGGCCTGGTCTGAGACAAGAGGACCACATTTTAAGGTTTAAGACACAAGTGTGGCCTTACTTGCCTTCCAGAAGTATTATAAACAACAACAAAAAGATGTTTTTCCTACTTCTTAGGGCCATGTAGTATCTTTATAATCACTATTTTCATTTTTCTTCCAGACATATAAATTTGACCGCTATGTGGAGAACAGCAAGAAGAAAACAACCTTCTTCAAACAGGGAAAGAAGCTGAAATATTTTCTAATGCCTTTTGGCTCTGGAAGCAGCATGTGTCCTGGCAGATTCTTTGCAATGAATGAAATTAAACTCTTCGTGATTTTAGTGTTGGTTTATTTTGATATGGAAATAATGGAAGACAAACAACTTGGACAGGACAAGGGTAGAATAGGCTTGGGTATTTTATTGCCAGATTCTGACATTATTTTTCGTTATAAACTTCGGTCTTAGTACAGAACCTTTATTGCTTATATAACTATCTTATTCAAATTAGAAATAGAATAGAATAGAATAGAATAGAATTGGAAGGGTCCTTGGAAATCTTCTAGTCCAGCCCCCTGCTCAAGCAGGAGAACCTATACAATCTCAGACAAGTGACTGTCTAGCCCAGGGGTAGGCAATCCAAAACACTCAAAGAGCCACTTGGACCCGTTTCCCACCAAAAACAAAACACTGGGAGCAGCAAAACCCTTTTGATATCTAAAAGAAAGATGACCCTGCATATACCCTTTTTACCTTTTATATACATACATACATACATACATACATACATACATACATACATACATATGTTTTCTGAGGTTTTCACAGGTGTTTGTATGTAGGATTTTGGTTATTCAGGTTTTCTCCCGTGTCAAATTGGAAGGGTCTTGGTGACGTTTTGACGAAGTCTCATTCGTCATCTTCAGGTTGGTGTTTTCAGCTTCGTGCTCCTAGAACAGGAACTCAGTCAAAAAAGAGGAACCAACATCTTCCCTGGTCCAACACCTTAAAGCCACAGGACATGAAATTGACTTTAAAAATACCAGAACTGTCGCCAAAACTGAACATTTTAATAACAGAATAATCAGAGAAGCCATCGAGATAGAAAAACGCCCACACAGCATGAAAAAACAAGATGATACCTCCCGCCTACCAGCCATTTGGAAACCCACCCTTATTGACAAACGATTCCCTAACACAAAAAATGACACCAGACCCACACTCACAAAAACCACACAGGATGTCACCACCACACATCCACGCAAAAAGCAAACCCAAAGCCACACCGATGATTAGGCACGACCACAAACCAGAAGCCAGACCACAGCTGCATCATTAGCCACTTTAAACCCCTCCAATCCATACATGAAGCAAACTGACACCCACCATGAAGATGAGGCACGACCATGAACGCGAAGCCAAAAAATAGCAAGGCAGCCCACCAACTTAAACTCCCCTGCAACTCAGACTAACCTGAGCACAACAAAGCCCCCACCCAAACAGAACACTCCCCCAGCCAATCAGAGCACAGCCAACCCTCCCAGCCAATCAGAGCACAGCCAAGCCCCTAATCAATCAGAACACACCTCCACCCAATCAGAACACAGCCAAGCTCCCACCCAATCAGTTCATACCCCCACTGGCAGTTAAAAGGAAGAAACAGCTAAGACCACACATTGCTCCTCGAAACACGAAGCTGAAAACACCAGCCTGAAGATGACGAATGGGACTTCGTCGAAACGTCACCAAGACACTTCCAGTTTTACGCGGGAGAAAACCCAAATAACCAAAGACCTACATACAAACACCCATGAAAACCTCAGAAAACAAACATACATACATACATACATACATACATACATACATACATATCATATCATATCATATCATAAAGGTAAAAAAAGATATATGCAGTGTTATCTTCATTTTAGATATCAAAAGGGTCTCTCTGTCTCTCCCTCCCTCTCTCTCCCTCTCTTTCTTTCTGCCCTTGGTGTGACAGTCCTCTTCCCCCACTCTCTTTCTCTCTCTCTCTCCTCTCTCTCTCTCTTCTTCCCTCTCTCTCTCTTTCTCCCCCCCTCCCTCTCTCCGATCTTCTGCTCACCTGGCAAGTTGCCTTCAAGCTGTTCTCCAACAAGCTCAGAGGTAGGCAACCTTGGCTTTTTTATGACTCATGGACTTCAATTCCCAGAATTCCTGAGTTAGCATAGCTGGGCTAGCTAGCTCTCTCCTGCCCTTCCTGCTTCCTGCAGAGATGCAGCAAAGGGAGGAGGCACGCTCAAAAAGATTTTCAGTTTGTCGGAGAACACAGTGAGTCCACTCTCTTTTACGCACATACACACATACATACACACACACACACACACACACACACACACAGAGACAGAGACAGAAGCAGGGAAGCGCAAGTGCCTCTCTCTGTCTCTGTCTTTCTGCAAATGGCAGAGGAGGTTGGGAGCCACACGGGACGGCTCAAAGAGCCGCATGCGGCTCCGGAGCCGCAGGTTGTTGACCTGTGGTCTAGCCTTTTCTTTAAAATCTCCAGTGAGGGAGCACCCACAATTTTTGGGAGCAACCTATTCCACTAGTTAATTGTCCTCACTATCAGGAAGTTTCTCCTTAATTCCAGGTTGCTTCTCTCTTTGATCAGTTTTCAACCATTGTTTCTTGTCCTGCTCTCTGATGCTTTGATGAATAATATGACCCCCTCTTCTGTCTTTTATTAAATATAATGTAACATTTGTATTTATAGGTGCCTTTACAGGTTTACTGTATTTTCATTGTTATTAAGTGTTTCAAATATGATCATAGACTGTGCTTTTCTGTGCAAAAAAGAATGAGAAGTAACCTAAATTCTATGTAAATTCTATGTATATTCATGTTTTTATGATACTAAAGTCTCACAAGTAATTCTGACTCATTCATGGATCCATTGGTCTTCTTGATTCTAGAACTAAAATCCTAAACATATTTTTGGGAAGGTAAAATCTACTCATTCTGGTGAGACATAATTCAGAGTAAACATAAATAAGGGTCACTTTTTCTATTGTTTCTTGAAAAATCCCAATAATAAGTATTGCTCTTATTTGTATCCTCCTATTGCCAGCCTGAGTTATAATAACAAGGATTTATTGTTCATTCCTACATTCACATAGAAACAAAATATCAAAAAAAGCTAAATGCTTTTACGGCCAAGGTACTTCTGTTTTGTAGCCAAGTTTCCTCCTACTGGGGAGTCTAATTTTTTCACTATGTTACAGCATTTGGCAAAAGCTGGGAAACTTGCTAAAAATATAGATGAACTCTGACAAACCCCTTGCCATCCTCTTTATATATTCTCTATAACTATCTTAGAATGAAGAAGATAGGAAATGTTCAAAAGACTCTCCTTATATGGATACTGCAATAAATTAAGGTGGATTGAAAAAATATGAGCAAAACAGGCAAAGGAATTTGTCATCATCTCAGCAAGGCACTTAATTCTGCAAAGATGAAGAGATTCTGCTCATCAGGAAAAGAAAGACCACAATTCTCACTGAGGCGCTTTATGATGCTTCAACACTTTGACCACCAGTTCCATAATCAGAACTTATTCTGTACATATTGTGCTATTTTTTTCCCTCTGTTCAATCCCGACAAATTCTCAGCATTGTCCTGGACAAGTCTCTCAGTTTACTTGGCAAAGTTTTTCAGAAGTGGTTTGCCATTGCTTTCCTCTGAGGGTTGAGAGGCAGTGACTGGGTTATAGCTCTCAGTCTCCCGATTTCTAGCCTGATGCCTTAACTACTACTACACCAAACTGTCCCTATAGATCAGTGTTTCTCAACCTTGACAATTTTAAGGCATGTGGACTTCAACACCCAGAATTCCACAGCCAGCAAGTCCACATGCCTTAAAATTGTCAAGGTTGAGGAACACTGCTATAGATGCACAGATTTTCTTTCATAGAAACAGAGATATGTGGCCTTACAAAGCAACCTCCAAGAAATGTTTTGTTCAAAACATACAGCTCTAGTAGATTATCTGCAATGTAACATAATTTATGAAGCATTGATTAATTAGAGACGCTACCTGTCTGTGCTATTGGCACTCATACATGGGAGGAAATAAGCTTGTTTTTAATTAATCTTTCAGATTTATTCCAGGTAGTGATAGTGCAAACTCTGTGGGCAAATGCACTGCATAGTCAGTTGAAGCTCAAAATCTAGTGGGGTTTTTTGCAGAATGATAAGCAAAAGTAATATTATTACAATGTTGTACAGACATGCTTGCAGAAATGTCAAATGTGAAACATCTCCTACAGTTGTGAGGATTCCTCCTTTGGCAATATTTTGATAGCAACTGTGGAGAGAATGAAAAGTAGTTCATTTGTTTAAAACATGGCAGGAATTTTGATTCAATTTGTGATTTTACATTTTGAAATTGTATCGTATGTTGAATGGTAAAAATGTAATGGCGCTTTGTTAAATAGGGCAACAATATATATTCCAGAATAATCACTGCTCTATAACTGATGTGTCTCTCTGGAGATCAAGAGCAGACAACACTTGTAAATGTACAATTGAGACCTATGAAAGAGTACAGTTGGCTGCTACTTGATGCTTAAACTTTCAATGGATGTAGGGGGAAAAGGCAACTGAGAGACTGTGTCCAAACCCTGCACTATAAATTAGAGTTGAATCTTCAAACAGATTTTTCTGCAATGTTTATAACAAAGTCATGTTCGGGAGGAGCAGTTGTTGTTGTTGTTTTCAACTGGAACTACTAAGTTGGTGGAAATTCTTGCAGCCTATCTCCTCCACTTTTGTAAAATAAGTCTCTGGTTTGGGTTTCCCCAGCAAAACTACTCATGACCAAGCAACATCATTCTTCTAGAATTGACAGGATAAAGCAATACAAAATATTATTAATGAAAATGATTAAGGGATCTTCTTAATTTTAAACCCTGGTCCCGCTCACCCTTAACCACAATACAACCATATCCTGACAATACCATTGTGAAATTGCCATTACTCTATGCCCAGGAGCCAAGTGAGACTTAGGTACATTGGAATAAAAGTTGTATTTTCCTTTTTAAGTTGACACTCTTCCATCATAGCTTCAATGTGTATAAAATTTATAATGCTTTATTACACATTATCTTGGAACTGTGGCCAGCTGGTATCTCCCCAAGAGGGTGTCCTGACCCAGCAGGGGCTTTTTTTCCTGCTGATGGACAATTGGTTTCTTTGCCAAAGCTGGTTCTTTGACAGCACACTTTGAACTGGAACTAATAGGAATGAGTCAAGATGGCCATTGGATGACTATGAACCTTCCCTAGAAGAGGAACTAGAAGGTAGCAATTCTCAGTGGGAGGAGTCAGAGGGTAGAGTCTCCATCTTTTCCTTTCCAGCTATCTGCTGTTTTAAGAACGCCTGGGTTTTAACAGCACATTTTGATATTTTTACCTTTTGATGTTTACTTTCAAATGTTGATTGATTGAATGTTAATCTAATTTAGCCCCCTACTGAATCTTAAAGGTTTTATTTATGTTCTTTTTATTGTTTTATTAGCTATGGTAAATCACTTCTTTTCCACATGGAAGACTCAGCAATTTTGGATAATGGGAAAAAAAGATTCGATTTACATTAGTATCAAACTTTCACTACAGGAATTCTGTATTTTTTTTAAAAAAAAATCTGGTCTTATTTTTTTTAATTTCTGACAGAAATCTCTCTTGCTGAAAGCTCTTCACGATGGTTTTTGAGACTAATCTGTTACGATGCTTTTCCTATCTTTGAAAGGAGCTGTTTATGACTAGCTGTAAAGGTTTC